AGCTACAAACTGCTACTATAGTCTACTTAACTCTTTAACAGATTTTCTTTCAGTTTTTTTGTTAGCAGAAAATTTGGTTTGAGTGATCAACAGAAAGAGTTGCTTGAGTTTTTATTGAAGTTATTAGTCTAGTAAACAAGCATAAATTTATTGTTTTATACACAAGTATTAATATTGTTGATCATTATTATACTATAAAATATTGGCTAAGTTGAACATCTCTATATATACACTCTATTTGGATTGACTCATAAGTATGTATTTAAAAAAAACAGTTTTTTAATGTTTATTAATACAGTCATATCTCTATAAGTGCTCGCTCTTGGGACCACACTTTAACAACATGTATGTAGAGAATAATAAACCATGTATTTATAGAGGTCAAGTATATATTAGATTAGTACTTGAATATGCATTTAGAGAAGGTGTCACTTATAGAGGTCTGACTGTAGTTGGGACTAAGGTGTAAGATGCAATTGTAGGTATGCACTTAAAGTATGCATATATAGAGATTTGACAATACAGTAATTTGAAAATTAGATTGTTAATTTTATTAACTTAGAAAAATTTTTATTTATATATTTATTTGTAATTTATTAAAAAAAACAATGTATATATACTTTTAAATTTTAAAAAAGTTTAATAAATAAAACAATAATTAAAAATTATACAATTGTTCGCTTTCAAATAAAAAAAATTTAATATGATCTTGCTATGCTAATCATATCGACTATTCTATTATAACAGTCTTACCAGTGTTGGATTATAATATTATATGATTTATATAACTTGTTATATTTCAATATCATATTTGCTCACAGAATCTATTTAATAAATTAAAATAAAAATAATTTTTTCAAGTTAGTGATTAATTCACTACCTTTTTACCATAATTAATTTCACTCTATATCTTTATTATCTGGTTTGTTTTCTCACAATCTAGTTAAATCTTCAAATGCATCATCATATTTGCTCGTAGCGAATCTATTTAATAAATTAAAATAAAAATAATTTCTTCAAGTTAGCAATTGATTCACTATACCTTTTCACATATAATTAATTTCACTTCTATATCTTTATTATTGTAACAAAAATGTGTAATAATCGTACATATGTAAATAGAGTATTTATAGACATTGCTACGGTTATTTCGAATGTATTTAACTAAATTTATAGACATTAGCTTTTATGATTATGTTAGAAAGAACGTCACTATTATTCTTTTTTATGTTAAGATATGGTTTAGGGTCACTTATCAGAAGGCTTCTTATTTAACCTGTAAAATTATTTCCACAATATGAATAAATTGGAGAAATATAAAAATACCAATTTCATTTACTTTATTTGACCAGCAATAAATTGTTTTACATGAGTTAGTTTACGGGCGTATTTACAAGATTTAAACTTTATTTTTACAAAATATTCTGACGCCACCATGATACAAATTCACAATAATCTGTTAGATTTACAAATTGCCTTATAAAGCAATAAACTTTTCATATAGTGTCCTGTACATCTTTTATTAAAAATCATTCAAGTGAGAAATCTAACCTAGTTATTACGTATACACTAGCTCCTAGGACTCGGGTGATTCCCCGGGAGTGAAGTTTTAAATTTTTTCTAACTTTAGGCCTAAACTAATTGATTTTAAATAATGAGCTAATATGAATTTATTACAAATAAATTACAAACTTAGTAATTTAATTAAAATTTGTTTTCAAAATAAGTTCCTTAATTACAAAGTTGAGCATTGCAAGTATGCTTGTGTAGCAAAAAAAAAAAATCGCAGCCGTCACAACAGCACACTCAGTAATACTAATCGAGCAGAAAGAATTAACAAGATTGCATTCTTGATGTCAGCAAATGATCAATAAATTAGTACTAATAAAGGTCTGAAATTACTAATTTTTTAACTAATAAAGGTCTGAAATTACTAATTTTTTAACTAATAAAGGTCTGAAATTACTAATTTTTTAACTAATAAATTAGGTAGTTAATAGTACCAATAATGAAGCAATATGTGATAAATTATTTAAATAATTTAGAACTAATACTGTATTTTGTAAAGTAGTTATTAATTAGTACCTGAATGATAGATGAACAAATCAACACAAATAAACTGAATCCGAATAAGGGTTAAAATAGACAATAAATGTCAATTAAATGCTTGTATTAAAAAATGATCTTAACATTTTAGACATTATCTGTGTTATAAGCCAGCTAGCGGCTGACTAATAGTCTGTTTTTACAGAATCTTTTTTGATGTCCCCCAAAATTTTAATTCGCATTTTATGTTTATTCATTTTTCTTTGAATAAAAATTCGAATATATAACGCTAGCCTTTGTTGTTACTAGGCTTTGAGTCTTAGCTATTAGATGTATTGTCAAAACCCTGACCTACTATTAGATCCTGAAATTGATCCTATATTTATTATTTCGGATAATCTGGTGAAAAAAAATCACGATAACGCCAATGTAAACTAACATCACCTTAATCACATCATACGTGTTATTATACCGAGTAAGTTCTGTAAAATTTTTTTTTTACAATAAATCACGATGCAAACTACGGCAATAACAATTAGACGACTCCAAAATGAGAAATTGAAAAATTTGTCGGTAAATATTGGTCATTAGCACAGTATACTGTATCTTAGCTATTATAATATTGTTTTATTGTTTGTATTAATGTTTGGTGTGACGTTCGACAATTTTTGAGCAAATTTAGCTATTATAATTTAATATTGTCTTATTGTTTGCATCAATATTTAGTGTGACGTTCGACAATTTTTTTGAGGCACAGTATACTGTATCTTAGTTATTATAATCTAATATTGCCTTAATTTTTTACGTAATAATAATTAAAATGGATGATTTTTAAGGTTCGAATTAACCTGTTTAGATTGTATTTGAATACTGCAGTCATTATAAGTAATAGGAACGCACTTAGTTTAAATCAAAAAGATACAAATTACTTTGAATAATTTTTATGTGATTCGAGTGATTATTAATGTTAGCACGTTCAAGACCCGAGAACGCCGATATCAATTACATTTTTAGAACTGGGCGCAGATAATATTTTTTAAAATGCGCAGTAAAAATCAATGTGTCAAATCATTTTGATATACACTCACTCACTCATTAATATTGGTAATAAAAAATAACTTTGCCCACCTAATGGAATTAGAGTACATAAAGCATAATATTTATTAGCATGACATTATTAGCATTGTTACCATATATGTGTACTAGGTTAAACTGGATACGTACGTACGTACATACGTTCATGTACAGTATTGCGTATGTAGCATACCAAAACGGTAATCTTTAGAGTTGATCTACTTATTTATGAAATGTGGCTTGGCTCAATAGGCTCAATACAGCAATATACGTAACTACCAAAATGTCACGGATTTGCAAGTAGATTTTGGTAATTAGGCTTGATGCTTCGATTTCTAATCTAAATCTTTTTTATTGTAATAATTGACTTTATTTTAATCGCAAAAACGTGAGATAAACCAATTTTCCAAATTACTCTATTTCTTAAAATATCAAATTTACTGCATACTCAGTTAAATGGGGTCTTTGCTTTGAAAATGACCTTACGGTACATGATACCGTAAGGTCATTTTCAAGGCAAAGACCCCAAATGGGCTTTTAAATCTTTTTTACCATTTTGATGGATAATACGATACCCTTACATGAAGACAGCAATTTTCCCGCACACGTGATGATCAATAAAAGAATTATTGCGATTTCTTAGCCAAAAATGCAATATGAATGCGTTATATTTATATTTTGTTATGCATAGTTATACTCGCTAAAAATCAGACGACATACGTAATGTGATTGTATAGGGATGTGACGATCTACAAATTTGATCAAAAATAACGAAAAAATTCGTTAGAGCACAAAAATCGGGTTGTTATGTAAATTTTTTTAGATATGAACAATTTTAAAAATGGAAAATTTTCTTTGCATTATTCCTGATAGTGTTACATTAGGCTTGAATTATTGGTCTATTATTACATATGCGGACACCTATATCCTAATGCTGTTACCCCTACAGCCTGCTAATCATTACACAAAAGGGTTATTTTTATTATGGACTTTTTTCCTTTGTTACGATACTTGATAAATTTTGTAAACATAAACATTCAAAAAAAAAAAAAGAGGGGTTACGTATCATTTTATAGAAATCAACTTAGGGGAGGGCCAGAAAACACGTGTTTTTTATTTTGACAAAATTACCCCCCTCCCCCCTAGGTTTCTTATCTTCTCGATTTTTCTATATATAGACGTGTTTTTTGAAAAGACCCCCTCCCCCCAAAAGAAAACACGTATTTTCTGGCCCTCCCCTTATAGGCAATTTTATTTTCAAGACAATTAATTTACAGACAATTCATTCTATAGACAGCTCATTTGCAGACAATTCATTTTATAGACAATCTTTAACAGTAAATAGCCCCTGAATCAGCATTAAAGATTGTCTATAAATGAATTATTGATAAATGAATTGTCTACGAAGTGAAATGTCTGTAAATTAATTGTCTTTGAAGATAAACTTGTCATTGTGTATGAAATAGGATGTCTATAAGCTAATTTCTGTGAAGCGATATGTAACCAAAAAAGATTTGTTATGCATGACACATAATAAAAACCGCAAATACTAAGAAAACTTTACTTGTGGAATGAATTTTCAATCATCGCACCGCAGATAGATTTTAACATTGAATTCTTATTTTAGAAAGAAGGTTTTGGAATAATTTCCTGGGCCAATTATGTTTTGAGATCGGTGAAAATTTATCCCGCGCTTTTCTATATTTCAATATCGTCAATTAGCTTATTTTTTGAAGAAAATTATAAAAGGCCAAGATATTGAACAATATAGATTTTTTTAGTTAATTTTTTAACTTGTAAATTCATATTTTTCCGAAAAAGTTAATATTACAGTGTTAAATTAATAATATTAATAATATTAATTAGCAAGAGCAAAAAAAATGATACAAAATCAATCTACTCCACATAGTGAAATAAATTTTGAACATCAATCGACGTTAGTATCAGACGCAAATGAAAACACAATACCTACAAAAAATATAAACGATCAGGAAGCCCAGACTGTCGAAAATGATGCCTCCATATTACATGGGATTGAATTATTTTTGGTTACTTTTGGGTTCGTTAACTCCTTACAGTTCTTTTACGCGTTCATACGATAGTTATATTTTATTTATAATAGTTTAGGATGTGCTATGTTTGTAGCCGCGTTAGATCAAACAATCGTTGCCACTGCTATGCCTAAAATAGGTTCCGATTTTAATGGATTGGATCAAGTAGCATGGATCGCAACCTCTTATCTACTCACAGTGGTAATTTAAGATTTTAATATATATTTATTTATCCATCCTTTTTGGACTATACATTACGTGTGACTCACATGAATCACGTTACCAATACAGACTTCCTTTCAACCAATTTATGGAAAATTATCTGATATTTTTGGTCGTAAAGTAACTTTTTTATTTGCAATTACTATCTTTGAATTGGGCAGTTTGTTATGTGGTCTTTCTGCCAATATGGTATTGTCATGTTTTGCTTTTCAATTTCTTGAAAATACACGCAACCTTAACATATCTTAACATATCATAATTATTTTATCATTTAGGTTTCAATGATAATATTCCGTGCCATCGCTGGTATTGGAGGCGGTGGTATCGTTGCGTACGTACTTCATCGCAACATTGATTATATCAAATTTTTGTGCAAACTAAAAACTTTTTTTTTTTGTTTTAGACTTGTCATGATTATTGTTTCAGAAATTGTCAGTACTAAAGATCGAGGAAAATATCAGGGTATTATCGGCATGTGCTATGGTATTGCTTCTATAGTTGGTCCGCTCCTGGGTGGTGCCTTTACTGATCACGTTAGTTGGAGGTATGTAAATTTATACGAGAGGGGAACCCTGAGTCAAAAGTGGTTACCTTATTGATATAAATCATTTTGTCATATTGTATCAACCGTGAATCATTTCTTTACAAAATTTCCTTTCCAAAAATAGATGGTGTTTTTTCATAAATCTTCCTCTAGGTGTAATAACAATACTGGCTGTTTGTTTTTTTCTTCGCATGGAAATATCAACTAGTTCATTACTTGGCAAACTTAAGAGAATCGATTTTATGGGCATTATTATGATGATTGTATCAACTGTTTGTATCTTATTACCTCTTAATTGGGGAGGTAGTACTTATGCTTGGAATAATCCTGTGATTATAGTGCTTCTATGTGTCGGCGCTGTTGGTTACATAATATTCGGTCTTGTCGAAAGTTACGTCGTTTTTGAACCTATTACTCCACGTAAGCATTCATAGATTTAATTTATCATAATTTGGAATAGTTATTATTATGACTGATCTATTATTATCAATTAATTAATTAATTATTATTATTATATTTGAATAGCACATTTATTTAAAAATCTCAATGTAGTCTCATGTTTCTCAGTATCCGTTTTTCAAGGAATGATATTCTTTAGCTATATTTATTATATTCCTCTTTACTTTCAAGTTGTAAAAGAAGTTTCAGGCAAGTCTTTTATCGATTAATTCTCTTATTCCTTTAATAAACATCAAATAATTTAACATTTTAATTTTCATTTTGTTAAACAGCCATACAATCTGGATTAGAACTCATTCCTTATCTTCTTAGTGTAGTAATATTCTTATTCCTAACCGGTCAATTGTTCTCTTTAACTGATAAAATATCATATCAATGTGTAACTTTATTAGCTTCGGCATTGGCAATAATCAGTGGCGGTTTAACCACTATGTGGAAGGAAGACACGGGTTATGGTGAATTAATAGGATTTATGATAATAAGTGGTGCTGGAGTTGGTACAAGTTTTCAAACTGTTACATTATGCATTCAAGGATTGGTCGAGAATAAAGATTTAGCTTCTGTTACTGCATTATTATTATTCTTTAGAAGTAGTAAGTATTCAAATATGGTTGTACCTCGAACCCTATATTCAAATATACATATATATATATTTGTTTATTTGCAATATTATTTTACTAATTCATAATTTATTTTTTCTCTTTAGTTGGAGGTATTTTTGGAATTGCAGTATCAGAAACAGTATTTAATAATAAACTTTTACAAGAATTAAGTACCATAACATTACCTTCATATTTTTCAACGCAATCTGCATATACTATACAACTATTACCACCTGATACAAAGTCTTTTGTTATTCAAGCTTATGTATCAGGATTTCAATTCATTTTTTATTTTGTTATACTTTATAGTGCATTAATGTTTATTTCTTCTCTGCTTATGGGTAATAGTAAACCTAAATATGATGATAGTAATGTTAGTAATGAAAAAATTGCTGCATTTGAATAGTTTAATTCTTTTAAAAAGCTGTGTAAAAATAGTATAATAGACAATATTTATAGTCCACACTGACTTACTTTGTAGAAACCTTTAATTTTGCTAAATATATTTACTATAATAAGAATATAATTATAATATAAATAATTCTGTTAAGTTACTATTTGCGATCTTTTTATCATATTGTCAAATATTAAGATATTAGTAATATTACTTAATATTATTTGATTATTTTAAACAGATTGCTATTATATTATTAAAGCATTATATTTATTAGATTGCTGTTAATTAATTAAAAGATAATATTTGATTATATTTATATAATAACTTGTTTTTAATGAGTTTTTTAAATTTTAAATCAAAATATCTCAACAATTATTAAACCAAACTTGATAAATTTTTTCATTTAATTCTGTAACTACATAGAATTAAAATAAAAAAATTTTATTAATTCATGATCCGCCTAAGAACCAGTGACAAAACATAGTAAATTTTGGAGATATGTTTACTATGTAAATTTTGCCTTTTTTGGAATCTGGCATTCCCCAAAAAAAAACTTTTTTCTTTACCGAGTAAACCTCTTTTCGACTTCTAAGTAAACACTGTAGAGGAGTGTTTTGTGATCAAAATGGTGGTTTAAGTATTAAAATCAGCCCAGTGAATCATGAGATATAAGTGCTTTAATATTTGCAACTACTGACTAAAAGACCCCCATTTTGAATACCTCCATGTAAAATACCTGGGTGTAAAATTATATAATTCTGGTAAAATTCCAAAATTTTGGCCTAATAATAGTCAAAATACCCCAGGTATTTTATAAGTTTTTTTCAGGTATCTTATATTAGATCCTGGGTCTTTTAGTCAGTACACTATAGTATATATTTTTTTTCTTATGTAAATAAAGAAGAGATCATATAATCTCATGATCCACTAGCTGATTTTAACATTTAAATCACAATTTTGATCACAAGATACTCCTCTACAAGTTTACTTAGATAAAAAATTTTTTTTTATGAAATGCCAGATTCCAAAGACAATAAATAATATATAGTAAATATCTCTACTATTTACTATGTTTTGCCACTGGTTCTTAGACAGATTATGAATTAAGTTTATTTTAATGTTTTAATAGTTGTTGAAATATTTTATTTCAAAGTCTTAAAAAAATTACTTAAAAACAATTTGCTTAGTTTCTACTAGCACCCCTTATATAATAGAGCTATTTAATAAAAGTATAAAATTAATTGATTACATACACAATTTCTAATTAGTTATATAGTAATACAACAAAATTTTTCTATTAGATAAAGGATACCATAGGTTTCTGAAAATAAGCTACCCTTTTTTGGTCAAAAAGTGATACAAAAATTATGAGGATAGCTTATTTTTGGATACAATTAATTTTTATCAATTTTTATTAAGCCGCAAGTAGTTGCTACATATAAAAGTCAAAATTTTATTAAGTAAATTGACCAAAGTCACTTAAAAATACAACTATCCTGAAAGGTTCAAGCGAATCAGAGAACTTTTTACTAAGATGTTTTTGCATTTTATATTTGAACATAAATGCAAAAACATCTTAGTAAAAAGTTCTCCGATTTGCTTGAACCTTTTAGAATAGGTATATTTTTATCTCCTTAACAATCGCTATTAAGCAACTTTGGTCGATTTACTTAATAAAATTTTGACTTTTATATGTAGCAATTACTTGCAGCTAATAGAGGTAGCTTATTTTTGGAACAAAGGCATTCCTTATATTTTTTCTTTAAGAGAAAAAAGGAGTAGCTTCTTTTGGAGGTTGCTTATTTTCAGAAACATATAGTATCTCAAATCTAGCAGTCAGAATTTTGATAAATCTTATACCTTTTGATTTATCTTATTGAATGAATCTATCTGCATAAAACTTATCAAATATTAGATTATTTAATATCTTCAATCTTATATAAAATTTGGTTTTAATAAAAAATTATTTGAAGTAATATAAATTTCAAAGTATTTACCAGAGATGAATAAATAGGTACATAGTTAATATTGTGCTTCAAGTGATAGTTGTCTACAAAATCTTAATTTTGATTAGTACGACTTATTTATCAAATTTTGTTTATTTTTTACACCTGGCTTAATCACTATGTTATTTTATATATATATATTTGTCACACTTTCTATCTATATAAATTAACAAATATAAGTACAAATACAACAGAATTCCATTTTATAATTATAAAAATATCTTTAATATGATTTTAAGATTGTCAAAAAAAATTAGCTATTTCTGTAAAGTTTACAATATAAACTAATTAACCTTAACTATATACTTTCTGTTACTGAAATAGTGAATAAGTTTCTTTTCAGTAGCTTTTAATATAAGCTAACTTAACTTTAACCTTATAATATATATTACTAGAATAGCAAGTAAGAATTTTTACAGTAATTCTTGATAGAATAATGATAATTTAAATAAAACCATCATAACTTTAACTGCATATATTGTATCACCAGAATAATAGGTTCTATAATACAATTGCTTATTATAAATATTATAATATTTTAATGTAAATTAGCTTTAATCACATATTGTATTATTAGAATAGCAAGTTTTGTAACAGAATTTTTTATAGCAACTCATGAAAAAAAAACAATAATTTAATACAAACTAACTCAATCTTAACTATATATTGTAAGTTACCAGAATAGCAAGTTCTGTAACAGAATTTTTATAATATCTTAGTTAAAAATCATTTTAGTTCAATGCAAATTAACTTAATCTTAACCACAAACTATGTGTCAACAGAATAGCAAGTGAGTTCTGTAAAGTATTTTTTATAGTAGCTTATAACAAATTAACTAAACCTTTATATGTCAACAAAATAAATAAAAAGTATTTATAGTAAAAAATTAAAATATTTTCAATACAAACGGAAACATACTATGTGCTACTAGAATAAAAGGTTAGCTAAAATGGAGTGAGTTTTGATTAGTACTGAAATTGGGTTGTAAAGTCTGCAGACAACAACAAAATTTTAAATTCCCACAACCAAAATCTGAAGTATATATGCAAATTTTGTATATAAATTTGTAAATTTTACTTATAAATTTCAATTAAATATTTATTTGTGCAATTAAATACTTATAAATTTTTATCTTTTAAACCATCAGAATAAGTGCTCAAACATAAGCATTTAAATTTAAAATAGTAGTTTATAATTGAATTTTGTAAAAATTTAAAATATTTAAAAAAATTTTATACAATAATATTTAAAATTAAGGATTACAAAATAGTAATTTTTATTTTTAATTTATAAATAAAAAATAATGTTATCTATATACTAAAAATATAAAAAATTTAAATATTTTTTAAAAAATAAAATTTATCTTTACTTTTTAACAAACTTTTTAAAATTTTAAGCTTATCTTTCTATAATCTTAAAATAAAATTATAAGATAAGTTTTAAAAATAACTTTAATTACAAACTTTTTTTTAATTTTTTTTGATTTTAATTAGTGCAAAAAAGCTTTTTTGAAGTTATTTATATATAAAAATTTAAAAATTTTTAGAAATTTTTACAATAAAAATTTAGAATTGACAATATTTAAAATTAATTATTTTTAATATTATTAAAATTACAATTTTCTAATAATTTTTGCTAAAAAAAAATATAGTACATTAGTGTAATAGTCGCAAACTACTAACGTAAAATATAAGTAAAGGGACCTTAAGTTAGCAGCTATTATTTAGAGGTAGTTCTCATATACTATCTTGCTAACAGATTTGGAGTTTATTACTATAGTACTTGTTATTTAGAAGTAGTTCTCATGCACTACTTGTCAACAATCCCAGAGTTTATCAATCACTGAAAAGACTAAGTTTTGTGTAGGCTTTGGTGTTATTGTTGATTTTAATAAAAAAAACTACACTCTTTTAAGTAATTCCAAGTATTTTTTTACTCTATCAAATTTTGCTAACTTTACTAAAATTTTCAACAAAAATTAGACAATCCACCTTCAAAAGATCAGCATTGTTTATATTTATCTAATTTGGATGAACTCAGTTAAATGCAACTATGTGTTTTGTTTATTTGTAATCATGCCACTATAGTACAGAGAAAAGATTATTACCTCAGTTTAGAGATACCTTAGTTGAGTCAGAGTTCCAAGTTAAAACAAAAAGTTTACAATCAAGATATAGTAATTAGTTGCAATTATTATATAATTTTTACTCTTATGCCTAGCATGGGCTATAATAGTATATTATGGCTACCTTTTTTTTTTTTTGCTTTTTTCATCTTTGTTCATTTATGTTAATTACAAATTAAAATAGGTAATAAAGCTATTTGGAATTGGTGAGAAGATCAGAAAGTAAAGTTAATGTTAAGATAAAGCTTTACAGTAGAGATATACAAATATTCCATTTGTTATATAATTTTTATTAGCCTTGTATGGGTTATAATAGTGCCTTCAGGTTTTAGATTTCTTTTCATATATATATTTTTTTTTTGCAATTAGTGTTTCTTTTTTCTTTTCTGTTTTTTTTTTCTGGTTGTTTTTGCACATTTTCTTTTAAAAAATTTTCACCTTTTGTCTTGTGTTTCTTGAAAAGAAAGAAAAATTAGAAGGGAAAAAGGAGATCCTGACATGGTATACAACAACCTGTCAATTGATCGAGGGGGCATCATTTCAATAATCAAAATCTGAAGTAAGTTTTGGATCACAAGTGAGACTAATAGTTGTTATAGTAGGTTTTATTGGATATTCAACCTGGTGAGTCTTTATTGAGTTAAAGCTACAATTTGTAAGAATTTAGTACATTAGTATATAAATTATATATCAGTTCACATGAATAAAGACAGGATCATGTAAAAAAAAAAAAAAAAAGTTTTTAATAAACAAAGAGGTTTTTAATAAATAAAAATTATTTAATAAACAAAAAAGCTATTAATAAATAAAAAGATTTTTAATAAACAAAAAGACTTTTAGTAAATAAAAAATCTTAATAAACAAAAAAATTTTTTAAT